ATCTTTGAGGGAAAGAAGGTGGTGCAACCAATGGTGGGGGTTGCTCAGCCACCGCCTCTTCAGCTGGCTTCTCTAACTCCTTTGATTTTTCTGATGTCGATTCTATAGTGGCTGGCCGCTCATTAAAAGTCACTTGTTTTCTCTTTTTCAACTAGACTTCTTCTAACTGTCTTCCATTCCTTAATAACGCGATAATAATGGATGCCTTAGGATTAGCTTCAGTGTCACTTGGGAGAGCTCCAACTGGTCTAGTATTTTGGGCACTGGCAAGTTGTCCCACTTGGCGCTCCAAATTTCTCATTGCTCTGGCTTGGGCTTGCTGATCAACCATCAATTTCTTCATCATTTCCTCAAGGTGACTTGTTGAGTTTGCATGTTGTTCAGCCTGAGGTAATCTACATTGTTGTTGAGGTGCTTGTGGTCAGTATTGGTTTTGAGCACCTTGATTTCCACCCCAAGAGAAGTTTGGGTGGTTCCTCCAGTTGGGATTGTACGTGTTCCCATATTGATTTTTCTGGCCCTTATTTGCATTACCTACAGAGCAGACAGACTCTGGATTAACTGGGCATAAGTTTCTCGTGTGACCCTCTCCACATACTTCACAAAACACTTGAACCTGTTGCAGTGGTTGAGCTTGTTGCTTGTTAATAACCATGGTCATCTGATTGACTTGGTTGATCAGTGTAGAAATCTGTGATGATAATGCCGAGACGACATCTAACTCGAGAACCCCTGCAGATTTTTGTACCGTGTGTCTGCCCATTTCTCCTTTCCAATCAGGATTGCTTTTGGAGAATTTGTTCAATAATGCATAAATCTCGTCAAAGCTTTTCTCCAACACTTGACCTCCAACTGCAGCATCTACCACAATTTTCATTTCAGGATGTAGCCCTTCTATGAAAGTGTGAGCTAACACTTCGTTTGTCTGATTGTGATGAGGACAGTCTCTGAGTAGCCCCTTGAACCTCTCCCAAGCTGAGAATAGAGACTCACCCACTTTCTGTTTGAAGGCGACTACTCACTTATGATCTTTGCAGTTTTTCCTGAAGGGAAGAACCTTGCAAGAAATTTCCTTGCCAAATCATTCCATGATGTAATAGAATTACCTGGTTATGCCTTCAACCATCACTTTGCTTCGCCCAACAGAGAGAATGGAAAAAGTGTGAGCCTCACATAGTCTGGAGTGACTCCGTTAGTGATATAAGTATCACTAATCTCCAAGAAGTTTGGGATATGCTGTTGTGGATCCTCATGTGGAAGACCCATAAACTACCCATTCGTATGAAGTAGCTGGATAATGCTCTATTTTAGTTCAAACTACCCAGTGATTCTGGGCTTCACAATGCTGGAGGTGACATTAGCAATGCTGGGCATCGCCACCTTCTGAACAGCCATGTGTTGCTCCTCTGCCATGTTCACAGGAAATTGAACAAGTGCCTGAATATTATTCGTGTCCCTTTGCTTTCCTCAACCTCCTATGAAATGTTCTCTCAGGTTCGGGGTCAAAGCCTTGAAGTCGGTCCTGGATATGGACCCTGCGCATTCAATAAAAGTTCCTGAGATCATATCAACAATCAAGTAACGTTAGACTTGACGAAATAAACAATGAAAGCAAAAACTAGAAAGTAGTCAATATTAAAGTCCCCGACAACGGTGCCAAAAACTTGTTGCTCCCAAACGCACACACAAGTATACGTGGTCGTACAAGTAATAAAATGATAAGTCAAGTGTCGAACCCACAGAGACGTGTATCAACTACCCACTAAAATCACCAAGATTGTTATTCAGTCAAGCTAAAATCAAGCTCAAGAATATGATTATACTAAATTATAGTTCTAAGTAATAACTAAATTATCAAGCGGTGAAATGATTGTTACGTATTCAGTAGAGACAAATATTCCAGGGTTGTGACCGATTCACCAATCCTATTGTGTTCTAGTTAACTCTCTCTTTCATACAATTCACTCATGGTTGCTAATTAATCGATAATTGCTCTCATAGCCTTCTCCCGAAGTACTACTCGACTATTCAAAATAGATTAACGCCTATATTTCTATGGAATCAATCTATCAAGAACGCGTTAAGATTACGATATTTAATTAAGCATGGTGACTAGGTATAATCCTATCCTAACCACAAATCTCCTTCCCTACCCCCCCCCCCCCCCCAAGAGTTAAGATCATGCTCTCTTCAATTCTTCTCTAATCTAAACATAGCTTTCGCAAGCATAGCATAGATAGTAAATAGAACCTAACTGCTGGCCAGACAATTAAGCAATTAATCACAAAATTGAAGAAACAACCATATATTAGTGAATTATAATCAGGGTTAAGTCAATGTTAAACAACAATATTCATGGTTAAATCACAACCTCAGAACTATGGGTTTTAGCAACTCATGATAATCGCAACAATTTCATAAGTGTTGGATAATTGAAAATACTAAGAAAAGATGAAGAAAATTGTGATCTCTTCACTCCCAGATGTTTCTCGTGTGTATTCTCCCTTCAAAGTGGAGTCTCCCCCCTAAAAATAAGTTTTTTCTTGCTTTTATACGTGTTGGGTAGGTCTAGGGCCGAAATAACCTTCTCTCGGGCAAAATTGGACAGGATTCACGCCACCAGCACCCGGCCCGGTGCCATGCGCTATCCCTAGCGCTGGCAAATTAGAGACACTGCCTATAGCACCACAGGTAGCGCTAGGCGCTGGAAATTCCATTTATTTTTTTTTTTGCTTTTTCGTCCGTTTCAACTCTAATCTCGCACATTTCGCCCCCAATTGCTCCCGGATCTTTCCTATACATAAAAACACCTCAAACTAATATAAATCAACACATTTTACATACTAAATCCACAAAACAAAAGTAAAACATAAGGCGATATACATATAAATATATATATTTTAAGCTAAACATCAGCTTCTTGCTTTGTTGCCAAACTTGGTCCCTTTGTCGTTGCAAGCACAGATATCTTAATCGCCTCCTCGAACACAAACATTTCTTTTGCGGCTGGCTGTTCTCCGTAGATTGTTTTAACCCCTCCCGTTGTTTGGTATTTTAACATTTGGTGCAGAGTCGAGGCCACCGCCCTCATGTTGTGGATCCATGGCCTCCCGAACAGGGCATTGTACCTCATATCTCCTTCGATCACAAAAACATGGTTTCCTTGATGGTCCCGGCGGCATTCACTGGTAATGTTATCTCCCCCTTAGTGATTTGACATGCCATGTTGAATTCGTTTAGAACTCCGACCGCAAGCACGATTTGATCCTGTAGGCCGAGCTGTTTGACGACCCTCGATCGGATAATGTTGGCCGAGCTACTTGGATCAATCAACACACGCTTAACTCGAGATTTATTTATGAGTACAGATATTACCAGTGCATCATTGTGGGGCTGCACGATGATTCTGACGGGATAAACGGACCCCGAAGGGGCCCAAGCTGGTCATCTTCGACTCTAATTTTTGATTGATACCGGTTATGCACGTCGATCCAAGTAACAGCCGGATATTCTATCAGATTTTGCTTCAACTGCTGTGGAGCCATCGAGCTTCGAACATTGAGTCCTTGGGTGAAAGCTTGAACAACCCAATCATTTGCGACCGGTGGCAGGTCCATCCGTTCCATTTGAAACCGGGACACGAACTCTCTGAGCATCTCATTATCTTTTTGTCTTACTTTGAAAAGGTCTGACTTCCTGGTCTCGACCTTGATTGGCCCGGCGTGTGCTTTCACAAAAGAGTCTACAAGCATAGAAAATGAGTCAATAGAATTAGGAGGTAAGTTGTGATACCATATCATAGCTCCTTTTGACTGGGTCTCTCCGAATTTCTTCAACAGGACAGACTCGATCTCATCATCTTCTAAGTCGTTCCCTTTGATGGAACATGTGTAGGAGGTAACATGCTCGTTTGGGTCGGTCGTTTCCTTGTACTTAGGAATCTTGGGCATGCGGAATTTTTTAGGGATCGACTTTGGAGCTGCACTCGGGGGGAAAGGTTTTTGCACGAACTTCTGGGAATCCAGGCCTTTCAGTAGCGGTGGCGCTCCCAGGATTTGATCGACCCTAGAATTGTAGGTTTTTGCCTTTTTGTCAATTGCTTGGTTTTTCTTCTCCCCTGATTCTATCCATTTTTTTTAGCTTCTCGAGCATTTTATGATCTCAGTATTAGTCCCCGATTCATTTCCGTTCGACCACTCTGCAACCGATTCGTCCCAGCGAGTGACTTCCCGGGACGAATCGGGTTTAATTCTGCTCGGTGCGCGATTTTGGTTCTGTAGTTGAGTTATTGCCGCCTGTTGAGCCTGTAACATTTCGAAGATCATCCGTAAATTGATCTCGTCCCCTTCACTGTTTTGAGTATTTTGCGTTGCCGATCGGACTCCACCACAGATGCTATTCTCAGGGTCGGTAAGCAGATTTATGTCGATGGCCACATGCGAGTTAGCGTCCAATGAGTCCACGGCTGAAATTCCGATGGGATCAACGGGCGGTACCTCGTTACCGGGCGTTATTTTATTATTTTCACCGTGGTGACCGGACTTATTGTCAACAGGTAGGGGTGCTAATTACGAGTTTGACATTTTGAGTTTTAACATGAAATTAGAGGCACTTCAAAGAAGAAGTGTAAAGCAGTGTGTGTTAAGGAAATTTGTGTCAAATAACCACTATTATCCTTAGCTCCACGGTGGGTGCCAAACTGTTTACCCTCAAAATCGGATAACAATTGAATTTGTAAGTGGTTTTAAGAATACGTGGATTAACTTGACACAAAGCGATAAATTAAGTTGCAATTGAAATGAACAGTGATAAAGTAAATTCAAACCGCACAACTTGAACAGTTACAGCCTTGGAAAGTTAGTCACACTTGAACTGAAGCGATGTGATCAATATGAAGATACAGAAGAGCAAGAGCTTAAAGAAAGAAATTAATAATATACTATTTTGGAATGCGTGTTACAATGTGTTTTACAAGTAATTAGACCCCCTTTATATAGTAGGGGAGTCCTACTTTAGGTATAATTCTATAAAAGGTAAAAATCTCTTGATTCGCTGATTTGCCGGTTCCTTATTGATACGTGCCGAGATTTCCGCCGTAATATCCGATCGGTCAGTCGGTCACTGATATTTTGACCTCTTGTTATTTCGGTCTTCTGTTGGTTACGCTGACAGTGTTTCCTCGAGCTCGTTCGGGGTCAGGGTTGATTCTGGGATCACAGATTCAATATTGTTCTCGAGGACATACATTCTGATCTCGGGTTCTGGCCCGGTGAGATTTGAGGTCGATCTTCAGTCCCTCACGTTCCGAGCCCGATTTCTATCGTAAACAATTTTTTTAATTAACTTTGCATAATCAAATATTATCACATAGAAACGAAACAAAACATATAGTATTAAATTACAATTCAATCCTCGTATTGATCTTTTTTCCTAATACGAGAAGATAGATTCACTTCAAGTCACAAACAGAGAAGCACATTGGTGCTTGCATTGTGTAATATATACACATATACATAGACATCTAAAAATTGCAGACAACCTTTTCATCTGCACTAAGAATCAATCAATCAATAAACCTAAGCCTAGTAGATGATAGTTCTACGCTATATGAATCTTCATTGATCATATCTTCAAATTCGAGCAGAAATTACCAAAAAAATTTACCAGTGGAATAGATCAATCAACCATACAGTGACATTACAGACGTAGGTGCGGCAATCCTAGCTCTGGCTCCTGCTTCCTTGTTCTACATCTACGTTGCATGGATTTACCCTGCTAAAAAGCCTCGTCAATGATCTCAATCGTTTTGACGTTGGTGTCTTCTGTCCTTCCTCTTCTTCTTGTTCAGTATTCTGTCTTGGAATATCAATCACCAAAATCCCATCTGGCCTATTACTTGTAGATGCTGACGATGTAGTACTAGTCTCATCTCCCCAAAACAGAACATTAGTAGGAATATTTTGTGTCTCTGTAGAAGCTGAACCCTCTTCTACTGATGCCCCAACGGTCTGGGAAATTGATTCTGCAGACTGTTCTGAAACAGGGTTTCGACACAGAGGACACGTGGAATGAGAATGAAACCACATATCAATACAATCAACATGAAACCCATGATTGCATTTAGGCAAAACTCTCGTATTTTCACCTTCACATACTTCGCTAAGACAAACTGAACATTCCAATCCATCTTTAAAATCCTTGATATTAAACGGAACTACAGGAATGGTTTTAAGTATGGAAGGGTCAAGCCCTCTACGGAGTACATTCACTTCTTGATAACCACCAGCAAAATCGAAACGTCGACGGCGGCGCCGCCTTGTGCCGGCGTTCGGATTGCCGTTGTCTTCTTGCCGGTAGCCCCAGAACGATTTGGCGTATAAGTGGAGAAAGAATATGAAAACAACTACGAGGAAAAGGCATATGATTACAGCCATCATGATTTTTGCGGTGAGCGCAATCATACCTGATTCACCTAATTTTCCATTTCCCATTTCTACACAGCTCTTTGAATCACCTCTTGGAAACTTTAGTAAGAATCTGAAACGAAAAAGAATGAAACTTGGGTCTAAGTAGGAGGTGAAGGGGAGTTTAAAAGTTGAGAGAAAAAATGGAAAAGATGAGAATGGAGTCTAAGTTTGAGTGTGACAGTGTAAAGGTAAAAGAAAAGAGGAGTCAACGGATGGAAAAAAGAAGAGTCAGCAGAAGACTCCCAGCACGGCGGCGTATCACACAAGGGAAAAGAATTCAAATTGGCTAAGCTAACAGCTTCTTTGGATTGTTGTTACCTATTATTCCATAATATATAGTATTTAGTGTATTGTATTATTTAATAAATATAATATTTAAATAGATTATTGGATTGTACTATTTATTGTATTGTATTATTTGTTGTCAATGATGTCACGCACCAATAATATGAAAATAGGATGCTGAATAAAATTATTATATAAAAGAATATGAAGTGCACTTTTACGTAACTACGGATTGAACGATATGATATAATAAAAATTAATATATTAATCAAAAGAAATATTGTATTTAAAGTAAAAATATGATACAATACAATAGGTAACAACCATCCAAACAAGTTGTAACTCTCGCCGCCTTCTTCACGATTTAAATTGTGGGAAGCTTCTGATTTGACCGATAAATCAGTTGTTTGAGTTGCTTGACTTCAATGGCGCATACCACTTCTTTGAACATTTCAACGACGACGAATAAAGAAAGTATTATTGGAAATTCTCTTCTCATTTAGGCATTTATGGTTTTCTTAAATTATAATCATGCTCCTTGAGAAAAGATTAGTCTGGTTGCCCCGTGATCTGGATTTTGACTATAATATCAACTGGTGAATGTTTACTTGTCCCTTTTTTTTCGCATCGTTAATCCCGTGTAAGTTATGGTATAATATTTCTTAGATAAGTTATACCAAAAGCAATGTGTAATAACAATGTATATTAATAATAGTTTTATAAGAACCACATAACATGGCTGTAATGTTTTTATATTACAGATTATTTAGTTAGTATCTTAAATTCCTCGTCTATTTCCAGTAATATCTGTTGGGTTTTTGATGTATTTAATTAATATATTAAATACTTAAAAGAGGGTGAATGGGAAATGGAGGGAAATGAAATTTTTGAGTGAAATTTTAAGTTCTTCCCCCCCCCCGGCAAATGGGCATTGTCACATATTGGAAGAGGAAGAGGTTTTTTATGGGTATATAAGCAATTGCTCTTCTTCTAGCTCTTAAAGAGTTGAGAAGAAGGCAAGTCTCGCGTCGTCGCCGTCGTCGCTCGCTCGGCTTCGGCTTCGGCTTCGGCTTCGGATTTGGTCAATTGATTGATTAACTTTTTGGACCAAATTTATTTGTTAATAGTAAAATATTAACAGAAATGTTATTAAATATTTGTTTTAATAACAGAACCATTTATGTAATGACATTTATGCTGTGGGCGTTTTGCATAAACAGCCATTCTGAAGAGTTGCACCTCTTCAGATTTCAGCCCAACTTTGGCTATAAATACAACACTATTCTGCTCAGAATTTTACTACGATTTTCTGAGTTTCTTCTCCTTCTTCTGCATACTTTTAGCATCAAACAAAGCAAAAAGTAAGTGTGATTTGCTACCGAACTTTATGTTCGCTGAAACACTGGGGTTTGAAGTAACACTACACCAGTGTGTAATTCGTTCTATCCTGGGAGAAAATAATCCATAACCTTGGGTACTAGGAGGGGATTAAATTCCTTAAGGAAACACTGTGAATTCAGTGGGCTCGAATTGATTTTATGTCATTTCTGTTTATGTTCATTTCTGTTTATATTCATTTATATTTCCAGAATTATTTTACAAATACAGTATACTAACAATATCTCTATACTGTAGTGAATTTTAAAGTTATCCCAAAGCTTTATAATATACCATTCATGCTGAAAAGAGAGATGAAAATTCTATTTATTGATCTATCTTACATTTTAATGTATGATATTTGTTTTTTCTTCATAAATTAATCCAAAACAAAAATATAAGCTCACTGATATCAGTGTCGTACGCAGAACTTTTCGCAAGCGATGTCTCATTTAAATAAATCAACACGTAAATAATTAATCATCATAATATTGTACAAATAAAAAGCAATTTAAATGCATTGATGTAATTGTCATTGTTCAAAAAAGAAAGACACTAAGCTAGCATTTGTACATAAATTTGGATGAAACTTGTAAAAAAAAAAAATTTGAAGATGAGATGAAAAATGACATTTGAAAGTTGAAATTTTGTTTGGACATGCATTTTACATGAAAAGAATTTGAAGTTTTGTGAGTAGAAAACTTTAAAAACTACTCTATAGCTGTTTCTGGGAGTTGAAAATTTTGTTTTCAAAGTTTGCCAAAAAATGATTAAAATCTATAAACGAACAGATATTAAAAATAAATTTGAAAAAAAAAACTCCCAGATTTTATGGCCAAACGGAAGCTATAAGTGAAAAAAATATTTCAGGAAAAAGGCTAAAAACAAAAGCTACCTTTGTATAGAGGTGATCAGTCTAGTCATTTTTAAATTGATTTGCTTAAATGAAAAGAAAAAATAAGTACGGTGTGTCGAACTCGCGACCTTCATGACACAAAGTTTCATCTCATGATCAAACCGCTAGACTAGAGAGGCATTGATCACGCCCAACTATTCCTTATAAAAAGGACAAAGCGGTCGCTGCAAATATATTCCGGTTAACAAGTCCGGAGTCGAATTCCACAGGGAATTAACCTATCAATCACAGCTATCGGTTATACAAACAATCTTCGGAGATATTTAAGTAACAGATTGGATGTTTACTAACTAAATATTACGTAATGAAAATGCAGTAATTAAGAACTAATTATAAACGGCTTGTAAACAAGAATTGGAATGATCTAAGGTTCTGATTTCTCCTATTGTCGGAATCCTTTCCGCTATGTTTGCTATAAATTTGCCTAAGTCTTCTCTATCGATCATGAGCGCTCTGACTGTCGTAACTATCTCCCGAGTAATTACAATAATATACTAGACATATTCTCCCGAATTACGCTAGCTAACCTTAAGTACAGCTCACTTAGATCGCACACAAGGTTTTGTTATCCTTAAACCCACCTTTAAACCCTTCGTATTGATCTCTCGTATATGTTAGGAGTGATGATGTTCAATAATTACCTAAATATGCACTCTCTCCCGAGTAATGCACACTGAATAGGAACAGTCAATTGAGGGCCCTTCAATCAACAGCAATAAGCATGTAGTTGAACAAATAGAGAGAATACTATGGCAAATCAATATTAACATAACGAGAAAATTATCCTTCAACAGGTTCCATCAAAACCCTAGATTATGAGTTTAGCTACTCATACTCATAGTACAAATATCCAAAGCATAATTAAATTACAGAATAAGGGTAAAGAGATGTAGAAATCAATATTTCCAACTCCCAAGTAGTGTTTTCCGAGCTATTCTTGCCTCCCGTTGCAAAAGTCCTCCAAAGTGGCATTTTTGGGTCTATCTATATGTCTAGGGCAAGCCCTAAACGTGTAGGTCAACTCCTAGTCAAGCCGGAAAATAATTAAAACCTCCAAAACTCGGACTGGGCCTGGCTAACGCCAGCCTCAGCTGGCTTTAAGCTGGCGTCGCCAAGCTAACGCCTGGGTGGGCCTGGCTTTAAGCTGGCCTCGCCAGGCTAAAGCCTGGTGGAGCTGGCTTTTGCCCGTCTTCTCCTTTTCACCATTCTCGAGCGCACTTTCGATGTTAAGCATCCCTTTAGCACTACTTCCATTTCCAATGCACCTACACATAAAATAGACCCCATTACGCTCAAACAAAGTGTAATTTAACATTAAAGCATGTAAAACGCAAAGCATATAATGTGCAAAACCATGAATCATAGCCACACATCAGGCATCTTTGTCCAGTGGTGTCACCCGTATTAATTTATTCAATTTTAAATGTTAAGATATCATTTTGACACATCTATTTAGTTAATTTTTCCGACGAAGCAGTGTCGCGTGACACCGGTTCACTCAATGTAAATCCGCCCCTGACTGACATAATCCATTGATTATTATACATAGTGTTACAACGCTTATCTCGTAATCTGCATATAATAACGCTCTCGAACTAAACTACCATGGACGAAAGGTGCATAGTTTTCTAAAAAAGGATTAGTTATAATAGTAAATTTGTTCTAAATTTTGTGGTCTATCTCAGCCAGAACTTCAAAACTTGTTGGACAAATTCTGAAAACGAGGAAAAAATTAAAGAACGTTAGAGACTGTGAGAAAAGAAAGTGGTATCAAACAAGAATTTGGGGTTCCGCTATTCAGCTAAGGGTTAGTACACACGTTCTGTCTGGGCAAATATCTCTAATCTCTATACCTTTCAAATGATAGAAAAACTTGTTTGTCAAATCAAATATGAAGAATTAACCTAAAAAGTCATCCACCGAACTGTTTAAATTAAAAATAGTTGTATAATATATTTACAACCGTGAATTTATGTATACCGACTAAGAAAAGTAAACAGTAAACTCAATCGGCTATTTGCTTAAAGTATCATGTTTCCTATATTCACGTCCAGACTAAACTTTTCAAGTAGGCCAGCCCTGACTAAGATCAGTCCGCTCTAAATCTGGCCTTAGCACATGTTCTGAGCCGGTCCCCTTCATGGGGGGTGGTACTGGGCCGGGTAATTTACCAGGAGGGAGGCCCCAGCCCAATCTACATAGCTACGGTGGGCAAACAAATGGGTCGGTCTTTTTTATTTCTTATATCTTGAGAAAAATACACAACGGAGCATCTTTCAAAAAGTATTTAAGAAAATGATATTAGTTCTTGTTTATTCCATATATAGCATATTTTTTTTACAATAATAGCATACGGTGAAGATTATGTGCACAATTAATGAGTAACATAAATTTTGGTATCAGTTTTATCCTTTATCTTCTTACATTCTCTCTCCTCCTATTTTCCATTCTAAATTTTAGTTGCTAAATTTAGAATTCAACTCTCTCTCTCTCTTTATTCGAAATTTCTTTCCTTTAATTTAGCATTTTAAAATATTCTTTGAATATTTGTAGTACTTTGAATATTTATATGAATAGTATAAATAAAATATGTCATATATATATGATTCAGTACTCTCTCTTTATTCGAAATTTCTTTCCTTTAATTTAGCATTTTAAAATATTCTTTGAATATTTGTAGTACTTTGAATATTTATATGAAT